GATGCAAAGAAGGAACACAAACACGAAAAACAAACAAAATAAAGAGAAACATAGAAAATAAAATCAACACCAAAACTAAATATCCTACTTGCCTTCCCCGGCAACAGCGCCAATTTTGTTGTGGCAAAATATATTTTTACCGAGTACCGAATCGAAAAATTCCTTCCCCGGGTCGATCTCTCAAGGAAGGCGGTTCGGAATCTGGGAATGGTGTTGATAACTCATAAAAGAAAAATAAATCCTAAACACTCTAATCAAGATAGTGGTTTTTAATTATCAACTATGAAAGAGAATTCAAACAATGCGAAATCAAACATAAAAGCAAAGATGAAGATCAAAGGATAAGATAATAAGAAGCTAAGGAGTCGGGGATGATGATTTTCTAACCAATGCAAATATCAAGCTAAGATCATTCGGTTGGATGGTTCGAATAACCTAACGTCTAAAGACTAATCCTCAATAACTTTTCGTAACAAGAGGGTATCATAGACGGTAAATCATGCAAATCACTCAACACATAGACAATACGTTTCCGAACAAGTCTATTTCATACGAGCCTAGATCGATCAACTCCTCCCCTTTCGGTTCTAAGAGATGATTAATTATCCTAGACGATGGTTATTGTACTAGTTCGTTGGATTTAAAAACATCACACAAGAACGAATCATATTCAATTGGAAATCAATTGCAAATCGAAGTGTCACTCTTCGACAATATTCAACATTCAATGCACGAGAATTATAAACCCTAGTTAAGCACAACTCGCATAAATTGAACAATCAACAAGCATGATAATCACAATTAAATTCTATACATCATCATCATCCCCTATCCCTAGCGAACGAATTAGTTACTCATATGGAATTCAACACAATTCATCTCAAGAACCCAAGCATTCATATTCAAGGATTAATTGAAAAGGAAAACTTACGATTAACAGAGAACCAAGAGTCGAAACCAATGAACAATCCAAATCCAAAACAAGAGAATGAGTTTTTAATCTCCAAATCAAATCAAAAGAGAAAAAGCATGAAAAGGAATGAGTTTCTAGAGAGAAAATACGTAAAAATAGAGTCTGGAAGTCAAATTATGAACCTAAGGATCGAAATCTGGTCTAAAAATCCCATCCTCGAAATTCGTGTCGGTAAAGTCGCGAGTCGCGACATTGCCTTTTCTTCGGTCGCGAGTCGCGCATTGTCAAAATGTTCAATTCCTGGGGTTTGGTCGCGAGCTAGGTCGCGAGTCGCGACTCCATCTCGCGAGTCGCGGCTGCATGTCGCGAGTCGTGACTCGTGCTAGCGTACTACACCTTCAGGCTCTGTTTTTCTCGCGAGTCGCGACTTTCATCTCGTGAGTCACAACTTTGCTCTCGCGAGTCGCGACTTTGCTCTCGCGAGTGGCGACTCGGGCTGCACTGCGCCACTTTACGTTTTGGGCTCGTTTGGGCTCGTCCGAACTCGGAATTGAGTTCCGTTTTTTGCTATGCGTCACCAACGAACCCATCTATCCAGTTATGCTCTCAAAACCAACTTTTCCTGAAGAGAAAATTCACCCGAAGCTCCTGACCTACACACCAAAAACGACAAAACACAAAAGAAAACTGGAAAAACAAACGAAAAACACCTAAAGACTCAAGATGAAGGAAAACACATAATAAAACACGAAACGGACTAAAAACTAAAGAAACGACCTAAAATGAGGGAAAAATAAAGATAAAATAAACACGAAAAACACAACAAAAATGGGGCAAACAATAATCGAGCCATATTATTATAAATAAGAATCCATTGTAAAGGGGTTCAGAAAAATTCTAATAATTGAGACAAAAACTCGCTTATTTAATATAACATTAAAAACTGGTGATCCGACCTCAAATGCAAAAATACCCAACCTCACTGTTATTCATCTTTTCGTATGTTCATCACTAAACACCATAAAAGTTTAATAACCTAATTTTCGTCCCTTAATCAGTGTTTTGAGTTGATCGATTTTCGTGATCAACAGTTTGCGCTAGAAGGAGGACCTCATATTGTTTGAGGCAAGGTTCAGAAAATTAGACCGGACCGTCTGGTTCAACCGATTTAGCTTGGAACCGATTAGTACACCGGTCTAGTTTGAGCTACGTAACGAACTTCAGAGATCCCAAAATTAGATCTCCAGAACCGAATCAGTTCTAAGAAATCTTCGTTCCGAACCGAACCGAAATTCGGTTAAGTTGGGTTTGGAGATTCGGTCTAATGGATCAGTTCAGTTGTTTCGGAGATTTCGCATATTTTCATTTTTTTATATATATAATTTTTTTTTTTAAATCTCCAAATTACATGCTGAATGGACCTCTCTTAATTTCAAAAGATACTTTATCAATTAATAATTTGCAGATGATTAATTTTTTTTATTCATAAAAAGAGTGATAAATATCTTTTAGTTGCAAAATACCATTATTAAAAATAATTTAATTTGGAAGATTTATATGCGAATCGTTTATATGACATAAAAATCTGCAAGTGATAAGATGTACTTATGAACAATAATCAATTTGAAGATAGATCTTTGTTAAATAAAAGAATATTTTGGAAAAAATTTTATGTCTAGATAAATTATTTCTTCCGATATTGTGAGATACACATATAGTACATATAAATTGTGTTTCTTAAAAGTGAAGATATTTAATCTTATTAAGTTATAATTTATTAATGATGTAATCGGTATATCCGTTCTTAATTCAACATTATGGTAAACATATCTATCAATTTATTTTTATGTGAAAGTATATCACCTTTAAATAAACATTTCTCTCAAATTTTTGTGAAAAAAATTACTTCATAAAGTCCGGTTTCTAAATATTCAATATTGAATTTAATTAAGTTCTAGTTAATGAATTTATTAGTAGAATATTTGACATGTTGGTTACCAAATTTTGCGATAGGAAGAATTTATTAATTTGATTTCCTTTTCAAAATTAATTTGAAAATGAGATTTTAGATATAATAATACCTCATAATAATACAAAATAAAATAATTATTTATTCAATGATTAAATTCAATTAACATTCAATAGTGGAGACTTATTTGCATTTCAATTTTAAATATAATTTCTGATAGTTTTATGGACATAGACACAATGTATATGAATTTTATTTGCAATTCAATTTTAAATATAACTATATACAAAGATGCAAAATAAAAAGCATAAGATAAAATATTATATGTATATGAATTTTATAAACTGAAATCAGTTATTGTTCGTTCGGTTCCTCGATTCAGTACGTTTATTTTCGGTTTGGTATGGTCGGTTCAATTTTCCATATAGATATTTTATGAATCTCTAGAACTATAATAAAATAAATTCAGGACAGTCCGGTTCGAAGATAATCAAGTGGTTAATAGATATTTTAGGGTTCAAAATAAATTCGATTCGGAACCAGTGTTTTTGAAATGGAGAGAAGAGCTGTGACGTGTGAGTAGTGCCATGGCTCCAAAAGCAAGATTTTAGTACTGAAATTACTATTTTGTCCTTGTTTTTCATTGTCTTCTGAAGACGAGCTAGAGCTAGAGCTAGAGCTAGAGCTTGAGAGCTCTCAAGTAATAAGAACAGAGTGTAACAGAACTCTATATATATATCACATGTGAAATATGTTTGCATTTAAACCTTCCCAATGTATACGTGAGTACAACATATCCCCCAATCCCCTTTCATTTTTGAAATCTGATTCGTGTTCCTTTTCGTGATTACAGGTCGTCCTCCGGTGCTGTGCTATGCTGTGCTTGAGCTCGATCATCAATCGCCGCCCTTTCTCTACTCTCTTTTCGCTATGTAAGTTTTGTGATTTCATTTTCGCCTATGGTATTGCTCCAAAATTGAATCCATACTTCGTGTGCTCGTTAAATTTATGGTGCGGCTTCACATTGTATTGCTTTGGTAGAAATCTAATTCATTCAATTTTTATGCGCGGTTTCTGATTTGAAAATTCGTTTCATTATAAGACCTAAGATTGTTGATTGTACTGAGTTGCGATTTTGGTACTGATTAAATTTTGCTAGACCTAAGATTGTTAGAGTTGCGATTTTAGTGTTATAAGACCTAAGATTTGCTGGTTGTGTTGTAAGTGAACTCCTAAGATTTGCTGGTTGTGTTGTAAGTGAACTCATATTTTTGTCTGGTTTCTGGTGCTGATAAGTGTTGAGGAGATAATTTGCTGTTGATAGACAAACCACAGGGGTCAACTTCCACAGGGACATTATTATTTTCATAGGTGATGTGGTGAGGTGTATGTAGGACAATAGGAAGAGTGAGGTGCAGTGATGTAGGAATAATGCTATCATTCGAAAGGTAGGGTATATGAGAAGAAGCACCAGTCTCCATGTACCATGAATCGTCAGGCATCTGTAGACTCATACTTGTGAAGGCAATAGAGAGCTCCCCGGCTGCTCTCCCGAGGGAGTATTAGCATTAATTAGCAATATATGCCTGTTGAGGACGAGGCGCTGGGCCGTACAAACCGGCATTTTGGGCCGGTTGGTGGTATGGCATAGGAGTAGTGGGGTTAGGACATAGTACCGTCAATATAATCGAGAACTCAATAAGCATGGGCTGCAACTTGTAAAAGTGAGGGTAATTGGATTTCTGAGTTGCTTACAGCCTGGGCTGGATGTATAGAAGAGGACTGTGACGTGACTAGCTTGGCCGAAATCAAAGCTCATAATAGTTTATACTGATTATCCTTGCACTTAATAAGAATTTTATAATATCTCTAACTCTTTGCCATTTTTGTTTGTAGGGCACTGGCAACATTGATGATGCAAATTACGCCTTGAGGCTTGCCTCCGCAATTCATCCAAGGCGCTTCAAAGTTGAGGTCAACCAGGCGTTGCCAGCCAGGGCTCGGTCAGAGTTGCTTATGAAGCTGTCTATTGCTGAGAATATCTACGGCAGAGCAATGCTGACGAGAGCCATAGACCGGTTATTCCTAATTTCCCGGGCCTCATAAAAGGAGACCGTGTCAGTGAACTTTCCTATGAGGTAACGCATCTGCATTAGTGTACTGGACATATGTCTGAGGAAATCGTCCAAGCGGTTGAAATGTTCCCTGAACAACATGTAGGAAATGAATCCACGCAAAGGACCCCACAGCTTGAACCGTCGCAAGAACACGTGTTGACCTATCCACACCGATGATGTAGATATTCTCAGCAGTAGACAGCTTCATAAGCAACTCGGGCCGAGCTTCATAAGCAACTCGGGCTCGGCCCGAGTTGCTTATGCAGCTGTCTACTGCTGAGAATATCTACATCATCGGTGTGGATAGGTCAACACGTGTTCTTGCGACGGTTCAAGCTGTGGGGTCCTTTGCCTTGGGTGGATTCATTTCCTACATGCTGTTCAGGGAACATTTCAACCGCTTGGACGATTTCCTCAGACATATGTCCAGTACACTAATGCAGATGCGTTACCTCATAGGAAAGTTCACTGACACGGTCTCCTTTTATAAGGCCCGGGAAATTAGGAATAACCGGTCTATGGCTCTCGTCAGCATTGCTCTGCCCCCCACTTGAGAATGCAAACGATGAAGATGCTAATGTTCAGAATCGAATGCTCAGAATCAGTCTAGTGAGAGTGATGACAGCAGTACGCTTATTTGACCTAACATGGATTATGCTGCTGTGTCAAAGAGAAGAATGCTGCTGTTAACTGAGTGAATGCTGGTATGACTTTTTTGGTAATTGAGGTTTTCCAGATCTGAGCAATATTGAAGTGTAAGTATGAATTTACTTTGGATGAGACCGTACCATGGATTTCTGCATGAATATTATAACAGTGAGTTCTGGATCCACAAATACGGGTTACAATGCTTGTTACTACGTCATGTTCTTTTGCATTATCTCAGTCAAATTCGTGCTTTTGTTTCGAGTCATATGTCATGATGTGCCTAGTCGTATCATTTTTTTTAATTGTGATATTGCTTATGGTTGCATCTTCTTTTTTACTTCTTATCATTCAGCAAACTTCTGAAATGTATGTGTGTGTGGAGGAGTTACTGACATCCATACTGTCCTAGGTGAACTTTGATGGCAAGACTGAATATGATTTCATCTAGAACTACTAGGTGCTTCAGGATGTTTTCAATTCTATTGCTTATTTCGAAACAAAAGCTCACCCATATGTTACTACATATATGAACATCGTATCTTCATATCCATGAACATGGAACCTTATTGTTTTCGTGCTAATTTTGCATAAGATTTTCGTTATCTGAAGGCATGAAACATTTTGATGTTTTTCCTGTTTTCCAGTTTTAGACACACACACAAGTAAAAAGCGCTTGTATAAGTTATTCTCCAAAGCACCCTGTTTCGCTGAAATACAAAATTTAGCTTCCACATACAAATGCTACTAACTTCTGATTTTTTCACTTACAGTTCTATAAACCACTTCCTCTAGAAACAAAAGCTTTTGCAGAACACTTCATGGAAATATCAACTATCAGATGCACACACTCTATTATGCTTGAACCTCGATTGCAGAATTGGTCTTAGAAGCTACACTAAACTAGTTGAATTCCCTTATATGGTGCCTTAAACAATCAAGAGCCGTATTAGATGAGAATTCTAGCGTGGTAATGGTAGAAACGAAGCCTAACAAAAGAGAGGTTGAAAGATCAAGAATAGAAGCGTTACCTGCAACCCTTCATTGTACTCGAGAATCGACATCACCCTTGCCAGAATTAAATGACATATTACATTGCTTTTGAGAAACCTTGATGCCTGTTTCTTTACCACCTTTAGTTCTACATCCTACCGGATTGTAATGCCTAGGAAACTCGTTTACTAGACCACCATTTACTGAATTGCAATAACGCTTTAGCCATTGTAGAAACTCCAACTTGTCCAGTGTCCTCCCCTTGACAAGCCTGTTAACCTCAATATATGCTGCAACCATATTAAATTAATTATCAAGTATCTCACATTATCATTACCAAGTAAGCACTCCAATTTCATTTTCTCTGAAGTTGGTCCTTGCAACATAAGTTCCAACTTAGTGGTTCGTTTTAGATTTCCAACATTGACCAGTTACAGGTTTAGTTAAGATTCACTGCAAGGCATTAGGATTTAGGACTAAACTGAATTGAATATTGAATTATCAAAATGGTAACAACAAAGTGAAATTATCAAGCTCGTTACATTTTATATTTCCAATGATGAGTTTCCATATTCTTTTTCCTTGTTAATTGGTTTCGTAGAATGTTTGTGAAATTGTTGGAAAAGGCTCTTGAGACTCCTTTAAACACATCTCGCTCTTTGTGAATCAGTATTTTTCATTCCCTTATTCTTTATTGCAATATCAGTTAATAGCATGTTTTGTTTATTAGGTTATTAGTGTTGGCTACAAGTTCTTACTCAGGCTTAATTGAATTTCAGATGTATGTAAGCATCGAAGCAAGCCTTTTTTTTCCCCTAAAATGATAAAGGATTATAAAGCACAAAATGTACACGAATACAACCCGAGGACCGGCTGGCCCTAATACAGGAGAGTCACCCACAACCGGGTGCTCTAAATACTCAAACCCACCTACTACAACTAAAAACAACCTGAACTTACTGCACATACTAAGGCCAGTGAATAAACTGTAGCCCTTAATACTGCATTAAGAATAAGAGCAAATAGGATACAGAAACACTAGCTAAACTCCGACATAAAATACAAGATCAACTCACAACCTAAAACACAAATGAAAAGAGAACCAAAGCCAACCAAGAAAAAGAGTGCCCACTGAACTCAAAGAACCTAGACTCCTCTTCTGCTCTGCAACAGGCTATCCACTGTATGGTTGTTGAAAGATTTATTATAACTCTTTCAACAACATTTTTTATTATTACTAATCACAATATATGGTTGTTGAAAGATTTTATTTTGGCAAGAAGTTCTGAAAATAACATCTTGATGTTCTAAGCAAGCAAGGAAATAAAAAAAGAAGACCTACATTCTCTCTATTCTCTCAAAGTATTAGATTGCATTCTATTTCCTTTGGCATGTTTTTATTTAAATAGTGTTTCTATAACGCTTGTTTTATTTTGTAGGAGATATTGCATCCGAAGGACAAGGAAGTTGATCGAGGCACAATGGCTATGAAGATCTCGGCTTCCATATTTGAAGATCTCAGCTCTTGTTGGAAACTTAAAAAGGAAGGAAATCCACTCCAAAAGGAAGGAAGCTTGGAGACTACTTACCTTGAGGAGTTTGTATATATACTCTTTCAAATACACAATTAAAGGTTGTTGAAAATATCAGAGTGTATCATATATTGAAGACTTCTTTCGAGTGTTCGATAGTTTTGCTTTCGAGTTTTATTGTAAACAGTTTTTCAATGTTTTTGCCCCACTGAAGAACCTTGTTTTGTTTTTCTATTTTGCTACAAACACTTATCGTACTTAGGGATTAAGTGTTGGTGTAGCGCCCCTTTAAGCGACTTTACATCTTTTTTAATAGTTTTAGACATGTTTTTTTTTACAAATTAGTTTAGAAAAATTTTAGGTGTCTTTACGTGTATAATGTTTTAGATACTTTTACATATGTTATATAATATTTTAGGTGTTTATATAATATTTCTAGATATGTTTTCTTTAAAAAAAAAAATAGCTATAATATTTTAAGTGACTTTACATCTTTTTTAATAGTTTTAGACATGTTTTTTTTTTAAAATAATTAGTTAGAAAATTTTAGGTGACTTTACATTTTTGTTAATAGTTTTATACATGTTAAATAGTTTAAAAAAAATTTAGGTGTCTTTACGTCTTTCAATAATGATATATAAAATTTTAGATACTTTTACCTATGTTATATAATAATTTAGGTGTTTTTAATATTTTAAACATATATTTTTTTATGATTTTTTATACCAAATAATTTTATATTGTTTACAACTGATATACGCTAAATTATATCACATAGTAACTCCACATCTTTAATTTATAATTATTAGTTAATATTGTTTACCTTCATCTTTAATTTATAATTATTGGTTAATATTGTTTGCCCTCATCTTTAATTTACAACTATTATTAATATTGTGTACTATTGCATCACACGGGCTACGCACTAGTAATTAATCGTTGTACAAGACTTTAGAAAAATATATCCGCATCCAATCCCCATTATTATATATACTTCACAAATGTGATGAGCCTAAGTGACAGGCTCTCATGCTTCGGGTATCTATGTCAAAATTTCATTCTACATTTTTTAGCTTGGATATAGGTTCGGATTATCCATAAATATGTAGATTATTTATAGTCATTTTAGATATATTTATTGTATTTTAATACATTTCATATTATACTATTGAATTGTAAATGATTTTAGAAGTTAATAACTTTTATATTTTTTTATCATTTTTACACATAATATATCAAATTGACCATCTCTTGATGAACTTCGATTTGACATTCATATTGTATGTATAAAATAAATAAATTATATTTATGTTTATTATGTTAATAAAATCATTTACTAATATTTATTAAAAATATAATTATTTATCAATTAATATATTTATGTTTAAAGTAGTTATATGGTATAAGCTAAATAAATTATTACAATATAACATAAGTAACAAGTGTCATTCTAAAATATACAATAATATATATTTTTTGTAAAAAATATTTAAATTTTAAAAACACTTTTTCTCATTTTAAAATTTAAGAATAAACTTTTTAAAAAACACCCGTGTAACACAGTGTTCTACCAGTGAATCAATATTCATGGATTGGCTCCAAACAAATAAAAATCGATACCTGTTGAAAAAGTAGAATTGAAAATCTTAGGAAGAAAGTGCAACATAAGCTAGCAAAATTGAAGATCTTATCACGGAACACGTCTCAAAACATACCTTACCTCATATTTAAATAAAAAGTCAATGTCAAATTAAAACAAATATATGATTTGTGTACGGATTTAAACAAAAACTTGGATAAAATATGATAAATAACTGATATTGTAACCAACATAAATATTTCTTCTAAGAAATACTACTACTTCTAAGAAATACTTTAAGCTGGACTAGCTAGTTTGCCTCTAGTATTTTGCTGCATTTCCACTTGGTAAGTTAACCTTTAATCAAACACAGTGACTATCATAATAAGTCTCGCTTTTCGACCAAGTATGATCGTACGCAGGAAAATGTCCAATAATTACTCGTGCGGTCTCCGAAAGAGACCGGCCTTGCAACTGTTTGCAGATGTTTTCCCGTGTCTGTTGACTCCACCGAGGCTTGTCTTCATGCTTAATCCACCTGTCACTGTCAAACCCAATGCGCCACTTGGGACACCGGCTTATCTGCATTTGCTCCAGACAGATTGCATTTTCGAGTATGTACAATGCAAAGTCGATTTCGTTTCTAGACCCACAAAATCCTGTTATTTCAACTTTTTTCAACTGGAAATGAGTTTCTGGTGTCTGTGGCCTCATTGCTTTAGGGCCATCACCTTCCACAAATTCAGTCTGCATAAAGGAACATAGTTTGTTTGTAGTGTTTGTAAGATATAACACCTTCTTTTAGATGTCCCACAAAGATATGCATCTTACTTTAAACAGAGAATTTACAGAATATATATGACCATCACCGAACAAAAGTCATAGAATTTAACAACAAATAGTTCAGAGAGTATGCCAATGTAGCTTTAATTAGTGATGATATTCTTCTATTCTTTTAGACAATTAATTAGATAAATTTCTCTTGAGGGCCATCTTACAATCACTGTTAGTATTAGGATACATTTAACTGCATCCACCTGTTTTAGTTTGCAACTTGTTCTCAAGAATTAAGACTGATAAAAAGAAATTATTTTTAAATGCTACAAGATTGTTGAACTTACATCCAAGTGAAACTCGAGTAAGAGTGGGCAACTCTGCAGAAGTGGAATTATCCCCAGAAGCATACTTGTGTAGGCTGTACGAGAAAGCTGCAACCTTAATTGTCTAAGATTACTGTATTTGTTAGTCAGACCAGGCGTGCTAACTTGACAATCAAGAAATCCAAAGTTAAGATCTGAATTTATACATATAGAAGAGATGTTGTTTGTTTTTATTCACATACCAGATAAATATCATATTTGGTTGCCAAAGCTAACGACTTGAGCTGATTAATAGGCAATCCAGAGGGAAGTCTAACACAAACATGATGCATAACATCTGGTTGAAAGCCATCACAATACATGCTCTGCAGACGAGGGACGTGATCAAATATGAGCTTTACCACTTTACGGCTCTGGAACTCAAACGTAACAAGATTGCTGGCACGCAGCTTGATCTGCCGCACCCGACTGCACTCCTCGATGTTGAGATGCTCCAGTCGAAGGTTGGGCCCACTTATATGCAATCTACAACAAGGAAACTTGCAGTGATCCATCCTCAACGAGCAGAGGCCCAAACAACCCGACAGGATGAGATCTAACGCCCTGTCGAGTAGAGTAACTTTACTCAACCTCAGATTCCGGAGGGACATATTAGTATGCGATTTAGGCAAATACTCCCACGTGATGGTGGATTTAAACTCCAAGTACCTCAAGCCAGGCATACAGGAAAGAAAGTGGCGCCAAGAAAACAAAAAAGCACAGGGCTCTGGCGGCTAACAACAACATTGAACAACAAGTTTCTCAACGTGGGCTGTGTTTCCTAGGTATTTAAAGAATGGCCAGAGTCCTCCCATGTATTGAAAGTGGTATGATTTGGTCAGACAACTACAGAAAACGAGACTATGGATTTTAGAACCACGTCGGGAGTTGAAATACTTTGAGGATATACGTGGGATATCGATGGAGTTAAAAAGACAACGAGTGATGAAGCTGATATCTATATTGTAATGGCGATACAAATATCCTTGGACCATATCAAATATGCAATGATTACCGAGGTGATGGCAGTGGAGGTTGAGGTGGACGACAAATTTGTAAAGGCCCGTCCACCGTTTGGACAAGACGCTGGTCCGAATAGCATCCTTGACCGGCAGGCGAGTGAGGATGGAGATCAGGACACAGTCCGGTAGTTCGCCTATGAGGTCACCTTGGAGACGACGAAGAATTTGTATTTGTTTTCTTCTTTTTCTTGATGATGAAATTCTGTAGGTCAGTAGCGTCAGCGATGCTGACAAAACTATGTGTGCCAGTGCCATAGATATCTTCATGGCTAACAGACGGTGAGAGGCAGAGGAGGATTTGAAGAATTCCCACCAGGTTTCAATTTGATGTTAGGATTTTTTTATTTTTTTTTTCTTAAAAGGAGGATTTGAAGAATTCCCACCAGGTTTCAATTTGATGTTAGAGCATCCACAATGCTTTGGGTCTCTTGACAAAAAATCACATGCCATGTAAGAAATAGATCTAGTCTATAAAAAAATATTTTCCAATGTAATTAAAAGTGGACATGGTTTAGCTTATGTGGCAATAAAAAAAAAGACTAAGTCCACACTTGGGTCTATTTTGGACCCAAGTACAAACCCAAACACTAATCATTTATTCTTACTTTAATTTTTCTTTTAATAAAAAAAACATATTAGATCATTTTTATCGGTTGACATATATGCCAGACCTAGAATTTTTATTTTTGCATTGCAAAGTTATTGAAGGTTTTTACTTGGGTTTGTCCACATCATTTAAGACTCAAGTCCAATTATATGCCATATATACAAAAAGAGACCCAAAGCATGGTGGATGCTCTTAGGATTTTTTTTTTCTTTCTTTTTAAGAGGCAGAGTAGGGTTTGGACAACTCCCACCACACCTAGGTTTCAATTCGATGTCTTTTTCGAAAAAAAAAAAAAATTGTGCCATAAAAAAATTCTAAATATCTTTCTAAATGTATAGTAGTTAGCCCGTGCAATGCACGGGTCGGAGTTTCCATATGCCATGTTCATTAGGTTTAAAAAAAATAGAGTTAGATCATCTATATTACACATCTTATGATCATCATTGTTTTTTAGTCATAACGGTAAACCTCATCCTATTAGTCATAACGTTAAACCTCATCCTATTATATCTAGTATGAAAAATTAATTAATATATTATCCCGCTAAAACCTTGATGCTTATATAAATTTGATTTTAGTACATATATTTATTCTTTTATTTGATTGGACTTTTTGGCTTGGTTTTGTTAATTTTGAAAAACATAGTATGATTAGTTGTTAGTGGGTATATTACAAAAATATTTAAAATAAAATAATTAAAGATAATTTGATGTAAGAGTAGAAGAAAAAAGATCTGGTTAGTTAAAATTCTGTAAGTAGATGAATAGTGAATTAAAGTTGATTTGATATGTAAGAATGATTGGTTTATATTATATAATTATATTGATAATATTGATGATAGTAGAGTTGAGTCAATGTTGAATTAAAAAAATAGTTGAGTTAAAAATGTTTAAATTTTTTTAAGTTGATTTGTATCCAAGCATCCTCTAATTATGCTCACTTGATTGATTTTTCCATTGCAGACATTGAGTAATTATAGTATGAAAATATCATTTCGTCAGATCGATGATTGATGATATGTTATCAAACTAAAAAATTGTTTACATATTAGTCTTTTTTTTTTTCGAAACGATAGATTCATTAACTAAAACATATAATTACAGCCGATTTAATAGTCGGAATAGGAGAACTACACTAGGCAACCTAGAATCCACAACACACGCCACAAGACGGAAAAGAAAAAAAATATAAGGGTAAGACTTAGTCCACAGAAGATTATTCAAAGGTTTATACATAAAATGGTAAATAAAATAGAAAAAAAAAAAAATCGCAAACAAGGGTATGGAGAAGGTCTCGAGTATGGTAGCAGGCGACAACAAGAAACATAAAAGAATTTGTAAGTGAAGATGAATCATTGAGTCCAAGTCGGATTAGTTTAATTCTAATTTGATGGTTGGTAGCAAAAACACTTGATCGACCTTTCAGTTTGGGATTTAATTGATCTTCGATTTTTGTCTAACATATTTTGTGTTGCATGTTACTTATTTTATTTGACGGTTTACTATGGTGTATTTTCCAAGATTGTCAAAATCGGACCGGTCATTGAACCGGTGAATCTATCGGTTCAATGGTTCACTGGTCGGACAAGTGGCCGAATCAGTTTTAATTAATGTATACTTTTTTATTTATTTTATATGTATATATTAGTACATAATTGCACATATATTTATTATTAATTTTATAATATATTACTAATTTAGTGTGAAATAATAACCACACGATACTCCAATATGTAATCCAAAAATCCTAATTTCCTCAAATCTCTCACCAATTTCCCAAATTCTTCTAATCTCGAGAGTCGAGAGTACATACTTTATTGGCGTAAGGTTTACGCCTACAGTAGAAAAGGCTGAAATTAAAAATCAACTCCCATTGAAAATCAACACCCACAAAATTAAAAAAAGTTGAAACCAAATTCCTTAAGTCATTTCCAAATTTCTTCATATTTCTTTTATTTATTTTCCTCCCCTTTCTCTTCGTCCCCTTCCTCTGCCGGAGCCACACGAACCTGGTGGCCTCGTTGTAGCCGACCTTGAGGATGTCGTCGAGCGGGAGCAGGCCACACAGGGAGGTGCATCCGCTCCAGGAGCTCCAGCGACTTCTTCTTGCAAACGATGTCGCCAATGTGGATCTCGGTGTTCTCGCGGTGGGAGGCGATCTGCTTGGAAGACATTCACGACTACAGATTTTTTGTTTCTATTTTTTCTATCGATTTTTCCATTCACATACCAAAGTTGAAAACCGTTAGGGCCGCGCCAACCGTTCCCGGTTTTCCAATTTTCCGTTTTTTTGGATTTTTGACTGGTTCTGACGATTTGCAACCGGTTTTCCTTCCCAACAGGTTTACACATCAAACCGGACCGGTATCATTGACAGTTCCCGGTTGAACTAGTCGAACCGGCCGGTCCGGTCCGGTTTTAACAACCTTGGTATTTTCACTTGCAGGTATTTTTATTGATTTTTTGTTGTTGGTGAATGTTGACAGTTTTTTAGATGTTTTATTATAAATGTTTTATCATCTTCATTTTCGTGTTTATATTTTGTATATGCCTTTTCATAATAAACTAGTACGTAGCTCATTGTGTGATAGGAATCTACCAAATAACTCCATTTCAAATGATTGGGATACTCAAATACTCCAATATTGGAGACTAATAGTACCCACAATGCTTTGGGTTTCTTTAAAAAGAATCACATGCCATGTAGGAAATAGACCTAGTTTATAAAAAAGTGTTTCACAATGCAATTAAAAGTGGACCTAGTGTAGTTCATGTGGCAATAAAAAAAAAAGAGATCAAGTCCACTCTTGGGTCTATTTTGGACCCAAGTGTGAACCTTACAATTAGCAATCATTTACTATTATTATATTTTTATTGGTTGTTAGGTATTCTAGACCTATCTTTTTTTTGCATTGGATAGATTTTAGATTTTTTAGCTTGGATTTGTCCATGTCATTATAGACTTAAGTCTATTTATTTGCCACATATACAAAAAGAGACCTAAAGCATTGTGGATGCTCTTAATAAATACAAAACATAAATACACCAGCAGAATAAAAAATACAATAATGTAGAATTAAACCTACTTTATCAACCTGACCCGTCATCACCCCCATGACCACAAGCCCTAAGCCCCAACAGTCTCCCTCGAACTTACCACCATCAAAACTCAGAGGCATACACACATTGTGAGTCCATCCATTGTAAAGACGAAACAAGAACTGTTGATTTGAGCTAACAAATTTGAAAATTTGGATAACTTGAACGGCTAGTTGGATCTGAGAAAAATAAACCCAAATTTGACCCATACGTCAATCGACAGATATCTGCATCCCAAGAAGACTACAATCTCAACTGGTTGTCGGAAAAGGGTCCCAGAGTCGGCCTTGCCAATGGTCGGAGGGGCCGACGGCTTGGGGTGTGGGGGGTGGGTTGTACTAATATATTTGTCTAGCCCCTCTTTTCTAATAGCAATGAAATCTCATTTCAACACCAAATTAATAGTATTAGAATATTCACTTGTGAGTTGTCCCACATCGTTTATATAGGGAAAATAGGTCTAATTTATAAGTCTAATGGGCTACTCCTCATTCCACCAATTAGTTTTGGGATGGAACTCCACTTGGGCTTCATCTGGGCTTTCGTGCGCTTCATCTGCGTGGGACCGTACCGTGCGATGACGTACCCATTTTCCCCCACGTACTCGTTTATGGGAGCCTGTTTCTAGTAGGGCTTGAGCTTCTTATTAAGGACTCACAAGTGAGTGGACGTATTAGAATATTCAATTGTGAGTTGTCCCACAAGTGAGGGGATCGCACCCGTTTTTCCCCGTTTCTTACAAATACAATTCACATTTCCACGAAAAAAATAAAATAAATAGAAAATGTTAATTTTGTAAGTAAGGGTATATATAAGGTCATCAGTTTGGTAGCAGAAGACACAAATTAACAACATAAGGACTGTGTAAGTGAGGATGAATCACTGGGTCCAACGTCAGATTATTAGTTTCATTTTAGTTTGATTAGTTTCAAATAGCTAGCTAGTGCATACAACTGATAAAAGTAGTTGTAGAATATGACAACATACCGAAATAATTCACTAGAAAAATATCAAGATGTTCACAACTNATATATATATATATATAGGGGCTGGTTCAAATAAAAACTATGTCTGGTGTGAGAACCGTGAGAACCATATTTGATGCTATTTTTAATTGTGTATGATGCTATTTTTAATATTACATGGTGCTATCATTTTCATAAATGCTAATAAAAATTTTGTTGCTATTTTTAATCAAATACATCCTAGTTAAAAATAGCACTAAAACACAATTAATCATAGCACTACATACAATTAAAAATAGCGGTTCTCACGGTTCTCACACTAGAACTTGGTTCTCATTTGAACCACATCCTATATATATATATATATATAGGAAGTGGTTCAAATAAAAACCTTTTCTGGTGTGAGAACCGTGAGAACCATATTTGATGCTATTTTTAATTGAGTATGATGCTATTTTTAATCTTACATGGTGCTATCATTTTTACAAATGCTAAGTTGCTATTTTTAATAAAATACATCCTGATTAAAAATAGCACTAAATACAATCAATCATAGCACTACATACAATTAAAAATAGCGGTTCTCACGCTAGGACTTGGTTCTCATTTGAACCACATCCTATATATATATATATATATA